AAAACTCAGGTCTCAGTCGTGCTGTGTTTAAGCACGGTGGGTTGGTGGCAGCAGCTTGGGGATGAGAAGGAGCAAAGGATTTTGCGTGTTCCCCGCAGATCAGTGTGCGCTTCCCCCCCCGGCACGATCCAGAGAGGGTGGAGGTCGCTTTTACGGCCCCGACCTGCAGGGCCCGGCTCCTCGGGACAAGCTGTAGGGCCTGCGGGTTCCCGGCTCTGTTTCCAGCAGTCGCGTTTAATATCCCAAATGAAAAGCTATAATCAAAGATATCTGTGTGTGTCGCTCATAGAAGTGCATGTGGAATTCTGTTTTTCCATCTTCCAGTCTAGTTTTGCATCCCCCCCATAGACACAGAGAGCCCCTGCAGTCACCGAGAGTTTGAGCGTGCACTGACCCTCTCCAGCGAAACAACTGGCCTTGCACTTGGTCGTGCCAGGAGTGCGTTTGGCCCCAGGCACAGGAAAGTGTTTCCCATCTGAAGTGTTGCACGTGCAGCTCCGCATGCTGTTTCTTTTGCCCCTCAAGGTCTCATGGGCTGCAGTGGGAGCCGTGAGAGCGTCAGGAAGGAAAGCTCAGACTATAGGAAGGAAGGAGGGATCTGGATGTCCATCACCTGTCCCTTCCCCCCCTCCCTAGAACAGCCCCTCTCTAAAGAGAGCTTCCCCATAGCTGGAGCTGAAGCACATGGCTGTAATTTAGGAGCGCTCCTCTGGAGCTGAGGTTGAGACTGCAGCTCAAAGCAGAATCTGGCACTGCCCATTAAATTCAGCTTTCCTTGGAGCTCTGACCTTGTTCAGAAGAGCAGGATGCGTCCCCGTGTCTGAGCTCTGGGCAGATGAGGGCTTGCACGCGTGACCCACCCCGGTGGCTTATGTTCCAGCGACTCTGATGGACCTCAGTGAACAAACTTGTGCATTTTAACTTTAAAATCCGTCCTGCCCGATCCGCGTCCCGCCACCGCGGGAAAAGATTTATTCTTATGAGCACTTTGGAAAAGAGGTGATAATGTAGCAGACCTGTCTGTATCAAACATCGTTTGAAAGCAAATACTTTGTGTTTAGGAATGGATTGCTCCTGCCTCTCTTTACTTTTGTATGTTATTGCTTGTAATAAAAGCTGTACGTTGAGTTATATGGTCCATTATTCCCCCGCTCCCCTACATTTTGTATTGCTAGTGTTTTTCCCCCCCCCATAAAGATGAAGCTTTATTTTAAATCAGTTATATGACATGATTAATCCTAGCATTATTATATGGCACTTCGTAATGATTAGTTAGTAATGTGGTTATGATTTTTCTGGTTTCAATCCTGAATGTGTATTAATAATAATTACAAATAATACTTAAAAAACTCCCCCCCACACACACACACAACTTCAGAGGTTTTAAGCTAATACTTTCCATCTTTTCGTGTGACTCTTATGCATTTTGAATGAGTGTAGATATGGGTTTGCATAAAATATTTAATTTAAATAAATATGGTTTTATATGACAATTGTTTTATGATTTAAAGTGCGCTAGTTATTGACAAAAGTTTTCAAAGGGAAATCATTTATTGTGTTCAGTGCTGCTCTTCTTCTTCTTCTTTTTTTTTTTTTTTGTATTTTCGACTG